GAAAAATGGCAATTACTCTCTTCCTGAGGAAAAAACAATTCATTCYTTTAAATTCTAGTTACATAAGAATATGGGTAATTAGACTATTGAAGAACTCTGTGACAGAAAGTGGGCACTAGAAAATATCTATGAAATATGATTCTCATTCATAGAGCTTTCTGAACTATTGAACACCCACAGAGCAAAATTAGCTGTAGATTGGTCTTTCTATATAATGGAAATAATAGAAAATAAGACTAGAGAGAAGTGTGAGTGTCTACCTCATCTAACCTCAGTGCTCAAGCAGATGAGTGATATCTCAAACTTTCTGGTAGACTAGTATAGCYCATACAATGTGATAAACACGTTTTGGGGATTTACGGGTTTTTATAGTTTTATTTCTCCTCTCAGTAGTACGGAAATGTGTGTTCCCAACCGTATACAAAAATCCATGTTCTTAAAACATCTAATACCATCACAGTGCAATTTCATTTCTATATTTATTTCACCATAAACCAAAACAACATTCGGATTTAAATTCTGTTGTGCTGCAAAAGTTGTTTTAGGGAAGAAAGAATTCAGTTAATTAAACTTTTCTCACCAGGTGTTCCTTGTGGCAGGATTTTTGCGTGTGGCAGAAAATTGTGCGTGTTTGTGCGACACCTATTCAGTCACAGAGGGTACGGGAGGAAACCAGCACCAGTCTCTGCTCTTTGCATTTTGAACAAGCCTTTCTGCGGTGAAGGAAACATCCACGACAGAAGAATCTACTTGCGGAGTGTGTTCTTGCTACGTGTGACATGTGTATCTGTCCTTAAATGTATTCAGAGAGACAGAAATGCTCTGCATTGTATCTGTATTCAACATATGGAGCATTCGTATGTATCTGAGAAGAAAAAAAAAAAAAACAAAAAAAACCCACACAGCAAAAGCAGCAGCGCGATGGAGGCTGACGCCAGTCTTCAGCTTTACGTTTTTATACTCACACGTTAGAGGTTACCCTGCCCTTTCCTTCGGGTCATTTCTCTGCGCATTTCGGCTCAGGAGCCGAGAGATGAGAGGCAGAAAGAGAGCCCGGAGCAGCCGGCTCCCGGGCACCCACGGAGGGCAAGGCATGCGGGGAGAGAAGGGGACCCCGCGACCCCCCCACACCCCCGCCCCCCTGGGGCAGAGCACACCCCTCCCGCCGCCGCCCTGCCTCCGCCTGGGGTCCCGGCGTGTCCTGCTGAGTTCCGACCTCTGGGTGCTGAATACGGAGCCTGTTCTGGGCTGGTRCTTGAGGAAGGATGCCTAGTGGAAAAATCAAGAGGGGAAAGTGCATCTTGAGCGAAATGTCTCTTAGGAACGCTCGTTCTCTTGAAACCGCAGCGGGTGGCTGTAGTGAGCGCTCTTCAGAAGTAAGAGTGAGCTCGCCTGGTTGGGTATCAATTTTTTGCGCGTCTATGAAAGACTCCATCAAGTGGCTTTCCCGTTATCTCCCTCCATCTCTCACACATATAGACTTCCCTTTTTGTTTCTTCCCCACGTTTTCCTGCTACCCGTGCCCGATGCAACACTCCTGCCCACGGCAAGGGTTGTATCCCTGCCCTGTCTCTTGTCCCGCATTCCCTGCCCATCCCCGGTTTAACATCCCTGCCCGGCACTGGTTCGCAGTTCTTTCCCTTGCTGTAGGGAAAGATTCTGCAGATCAAAGGGCGCCAGGCGTCAACAACACGAGGACGGCGGAGCGGTCCCTTCCCTGCCCTGGCCCCGTGCCGGAGGACCGAGCACCTGCGGAAACTTGTAAAATAATAATGGTGATGATAAAATGGCAGGATAGTTCCCTTTCGGGAAAAGCCGTGCCGGGCGCGCCCCGCGGCCGTGGGTGCGGGGGTTCGCTGTGCACCCCGCGGGGCTCCGAGTGCGTCAGGCGGAGAGTGGCGTCAGCGGCGGCGGGCGCGGAGCGGAGCGGCGGGGAGGGGGCAGCGGGAGGAGGGGGGGAAGAGGGAGGGAGCTTCGTCAGGAGGCGATGGCGGCACGGCCGTGACATCACCCCGCGGCTTATATAGTTGGGGAAGGGTCTGGGTCCCCCGTCTGGTGCCKGGAGCCGCCCGTCAGCGCGTGCGGAGGGCGAGAAGCAGCGGGGCTGTGTCTTGTCTGTCTCTGTCTCTCTGTGTCTCTCTCTCTCCGTCTCTCCCTAGGATTTATGGACTTTACTTTCTAGAGGGCGGCGCGGCAAGGATGAGAGTCCAGCTGGTGTGCGTGKTGCTGCTGGCCCTGGCCTCCTGCAGCCTCTGCTCAGGTAAGTCCCCGCCGCCGCCTCCGCCGGACGCGCCCCGCGCCGCCCGGCCCCGAAGCCCCTCTGATTGCTTGGCATTCAGTCGCTCCCGAAGCAGTAAGAGGGACCTAAAGGAAGAAAGTGAAATCTCTTCGGGCTCTGTCTCTGCTGCCCGGGAGCTGGCGCTGATAACGGGCACTGGCCAGCACCATTTTTTTATGTCTCTCTAACTTTCTCCCTTCACATAAGCCCTTCCTCCTCACAGCTTCCAGACCATGGCAATTAATGCAGTCTAGTCATTGGAAATACAAATCAGTGCAGACCATCTGCTTGCTCGTACTATGGTTCATTGAATATCATGCATTTCCAAATTATGATACAAATTGTAATTTCTGCAGCTCATATGAGTAGTTGCTGTAATCCAAATCAACGTGAATATATATGCTCTTTAGGCACTTTTTAGAGAGAGAAATATGATCCTATTATTTGGAGAAAAAGTTGCTAACAACCAATCTCAAATTATACCAAAAAAATGCCGAAGCACAGGCAGATCACACAGTAAGGTTAATGTAAATGTGTTTCTTCTGTGAGAGCAGCTGCTTTAGAAAGCTCAAAAGGGGGACCATATATTAAATTGCATTGCCTGCTTTGGAAAATGGCACACCTTAAGCATCTGTCTTTTATGTGCTAAGTTCGTGATCAAATATAGGTATGGTGATGGATAAACAGGTGTACACACAAAATCCAATCTTAACTAACTTGAAAATTAATTAGCCTGCAAAATCCAGTCTTAACTAACTTGAAAATTAATTCTCATCTCCACTAAATCTAACAGGCAAATTTACAAGCAGCTTCATTTCTCAGCTTTAGTATCCAGGAGGACCTAGAATTCTAATTCAAACTTTAGATGAAAGTTTCCAATTTGTATTCTTCCACAGAAGAAAGCTGTAAACTAMATAATACCTGCATTTTATTATAGTTTAAATATAATTGTTCTTTATATTATCGAGAACTCATGATCTTAGTGACAACGCTTAGCATCAATTTTTTTTTCTCCCCATATATTTTTAAACTTTTTGAACAAATTCCTGCCTAGTATTTTCAGTGAAACAGTTTCAAATTCAACTCTTTGTAGAGCCTGAGTGAAAGCCCACTAAAGTAAAAAATTTAAGAGGGAATTAAAGTACATTAAAAAAAAAACCCCAGAAGCCAGATTGTATGTAGAACTAACAAGAAGGTTTATTTGCTTGAAAATTTGAATTTTTTAAAAAATGAGACATACCATAGAGAAGCTTGTGTGAAGGGGCCCGAATAATTTTAAACTAATATGGATAGTTATGTCATAAAAAAAATGATGGTTAAATTTTCTTTTGAAAATGTTTGCCCTCAGGTGAAAGTGTGTACCTGTAGAACGTAATCGTTCCTGTAAAATGTGAATATATGAATAGAAACTATTTTTTCTTGCCAGTAGAATCAAGAATACATCAAACTGTGTGAATTTCTTATTTTAACAATGAGTAAAAAAGGCTTTTAAGACATTGTTCTCTGAGAGTCTGTTCTTTCTATGCTTTTGCTCCTAATCCATCTCTTTTCACTCCTGAATTACCTGGACATGCTTCCTTCTCTTCCTCCTAGCCTTGCTTTATTCTTCACTCAAGGAATCTTGACTCCTAAATAATGCCCTCTAGACTTCTTTTTTTCAAGCTAAAGGATTCTTAATACCTTCCTTCCCACCTTTCAGGTCTGCAGCTATCTTCCAGCCTCTATGTGTGGAAGCTTTCTTCCATCCTTTATAGAAATAAATCAAGACAAATGCTAACCAGGCACAAGTCCTTTTATTGTTCTCAGCTGGTGTGGTCCAGGGCATCACAAATCATGATGCTATCACTGGGTTCGTGCTCATCTGCTCACAGGAGATGCTATCATTGGTAGAAATTCAGCTGAGATGATCCTGTGCTGCCAGCAGAACTTTAGCTAATGGTAAAGCTGGTAAAACTGACAGTCATTGCTGCTGAAAAGGCTGAAATGCATTAGGTTAGAGATCAGTTGCTAGTGACTTGCTGAGTGGTCTACAACTAGTCTTATTTAATATGAAAAATTTAAACATTAAGTAAGACTGGTTGTAGATCAGCATTAGAGCAAGTCACTTAAATGCAATAGCTTCAATGATAAAAATAATGAATGCAAAGGTGAACCAGAGCATCCCTACAGAGGAGGGGGATTTGCATAACACACAGAAGTTTTTGATGACCTAAATAACAGGATTGAGAAGCAGTGCAACAATACAAAATGCAGTAGCTTATGAAATAATAGAAATTCCTGTTAAAAGCTCCTTTTTAGCCAAATCACAGCTGTTGAAAATACCTGAGGAATAAAAGACTATCTTGTTATCTAACCTGTTTTGGGGAGTTTGAGCCACAAAAGACAAACCAAACCAAAAAGAAACCTATAAGAGAGCAGCCCTCTGTAACTAATGGTAAGCATTAAGGTGGTTGAGTATTGAGGCTTCTGAACCAAACTGTACCATGCTGTTCTCTCTTGAGAACACATCAGGGACAGAGGAGGGCTGCTCTGATGAKTTGGGGAATACAAGACTGTTACAAGGAAGCAGAATAGGTGAGAGTCCAGTAAATTGGGGCATAGCCTTTCAATGAAACATTTATGGCAATGGTTTTTGACCAAAAGGACACAGTGATCTTACACTTACTTGCTAATCTTGTAAGCACACACAAAGATGCTAACCTGGGAAAARCAGTGATTCCTCTCAATAAACACATGATTGGTAAATATTACAAATAGAAAGGAATCATTTATAGTATAGGAATTTATTTGCAAACCATGGATGCCATTTGGAGTTAGAAATAAATTAGGCTTATTTCATAATAAATGAGAAGCAAGTGTTAGTAAGTATAGATATTTTAGAAGAATTCCGTAAAGAAGAAAAAGAGTGACCRGAGTGGTCAGATTTATTAAGACTGAATGACTGATTTTTCAGAGCATTGTAATATGTGGCTTCTGTGCTGGCAGAAACCTGTGACATGTTAGCACATGCTTGTGGTCCCTTACAGTCTCATGTTTGTGAAAAGTGGCAGCACAACATGTGATGATCCCTGCAATGAAGGCATAGGCAGAATCTATCCACAGACTCAGTGGTAKGATCTTACATGCCAATTGCATTGACTATTTTAAAGAAAGTGAGATACAACCTATGTGAATATGGAATATATTTTGGTTTAGTATGACTTGAAATATTAGTGTATTGTTTGGTTTTGGACTGCTGGTATTCCCAGAAAGCCAAAAGCTATGTGGAACTCTGTTTAGAAAAACGTAAAGGCTTAACTGATTCTTTGCATTTTTTCAATTCAAAACGAGATTGCTGCTACCAAGGCACCAGGTCGTTGTTGTGATTCTCATTTTCATCTTGTGATGCTGTGTGTAGAAATGTGTTTTTGTGTTTTCTCTTTCTACAGCAATTTTTACCCTATTTACCAAATCACAGGTCTTGCAAGTCTACTGAGCTATCAAAGGTCAATTAAATCAGTCAAGAAAATCCCTAGACCTCTAGTCAGAATACTTTCTTTTTATRTATACATCATCAAGATCTTGTATCATAAACTGGTCAAGCTCAATTCCATCATATCAGTAAAAATATTCTTAATTTGATTAAGAATAATCAAAACTATTGATTATTAATCAAGTAATCATAACTGCCATTTACCTAAATAATTATTATGTAAAAATGTTATTTTAAAATAAATATTCAAATTTTTCTTCCAAAGTAAGGAAAGGTGATTAATGTTTATTATGGAAATAATGAAGAATATTACAGCAGTTTTTTAATACTGAAAGGATTGCAGTTTAATGGATCTTTCTGCTGTTAAACTGAGATAAATGAACAATTTTATTCACTTCAATAAGCTTGATCATGCTTTAAAAARGTATTGAGTATTTATTTAACATAATGTTGGTGTTAACTGAAGACTCCTCAAAGTCCCTTGAGGTCACTGCTGTGGTTTTATGCAGGTTGTATTTGTATGTTTATTTTGTAAAATTCTTTTAAATATATAAGTTCTGTATACTGAATTGAAATGTCCATGATTTAGGATCAAATAATAAACATATGTTTCTGATTTATTCCCAGATTCAGAAGAGGAAATGAAAGCATTAGAAGCAGATTTATTGACCAATATGTACACATCAAAGGTAATTATTTTTCTTCCTTTACCTGACAGGGAAGGAGCAAATGGATTCTCATTACAAACCCAAAAGTCTTTGCACAAAGTAATAACCCATGGTCTAGACAGAAAAGTTCAGTGTTAGGTGTTACTTTGGTGCAAGATTTTCTCCAGTTCAAAGAAAATTTAAAGGTGTTCATGTGACACACTAAACGTGTTCCTCAGTTGTAACACTGGTACTTTCATTAAACTGTCAGAACTTTGTTATGTACAGAGATGTAAATTTATGTGAGGAAATGTGTTTCCAATAAGAGTACGCCTGATGAAAGCTAAATTAACCTTGAGTCAAATCTGTAAGTGCTATTTTTTTATGCAGAACTTTTCCTATGTGCATATAAAATTAAGACAGTCATAAAGCAAAAATTGTTAATACTTATGTCTATTTTGGTTTAGWAATTTAATCACAGTGCTAGGAACATGGAGACATGACTGTGAAAATACTAACTTGGTAAATGGCATTTCCTTGACAAGTTTCCAGACTGTGGATGATGTTTATGTTATTTAATACAAATAGATAATAATTCAGTTAAAACCTCTTGTTGACAAGGTGAAGCAGCAAGTGTTCCACATGTCATTGGGCAGGCTGATAGACACTTTCTCAACACTATTATCTTCCATAAATGATCTGAGAAATATATATGTCTGATACATTTTCAGCACAAAATCAAACAAATGCTATGGGTTTAAGGGTGAATATTTTAATTCATTATTCCAAAGAAGTTTAAGTGGACCTTAAATGTCATGGAAAATAAAAAGAGAAATGAGAAATTTCTCCCCAATAAAGAATTTTCATTAGCCAATGATTAGTTGCATATGYTGTATTTACATAAATATGATCTTTTCCACATTATTATTGGATAGACTAGAAGAAGTATGAGGCCAGAAAATGTATTTTCTTTATCTAGCCTGGTAGTTCTGGTAGTTCTTAKATTTCTGTGTTCTTTACTAGCATGATACTTAACCTTAGATTACAAGTAAATGTGTTTGCCACTCACTTCTCTAAGGTACAGAAAGATTTAATGACTACTCTTTTTCTGAGACATATTTAAATGTAGGAGRCTGACAAAAATATTTCTTTTGCTGTGTGGCAAAGCATAGTGTGACCTGGAAGAAAACCCTGCAGCTATTGGTATTTCTGCTTCTGGCTTTAGTGAATCTGTGAGCATAGCTTCCATCTTTTCCTCCTTCTCAGCACAGAACACAAGGTCAGGTAACTCCAAATGCACAAAAATAACTCCAGATATGCACCAATTAATGGGATCATGTTTGCCATAATACCCATATGTTGTTTTATGTCATGTAGCTTGCTATTCAGCATTCTCACAGTATTTGCCGCAAGGCAAGTGACATTTGAAATTGACAGCAACAGTAGATTCAGACTGGAGACAATGCTTTAATTCTGCATTATACTGCCTTAAACCACCATCTAAAGTTCATTAGTTGAATATACATTGTATCTTTACATCAAAGTAAGACATAGTGGAAACACTAACTGTATTGAATTTTCTACAAGAGTTATATCACTATTCCTTTCATTACTGAAATKAATTCTTTTTTTCTGTTGCCCTCTGCTAGATTTTAACCGTCATTACAACAAATTATTGTTCTGGTGTGATAGAAAAATTTAAAGATGATATGTGTAATACCTGAKATCTGGTTCTGTTTGAGGGCAATTACTGCTAAATTGCATTAACTCCATTTGACACTGACTTGGTAATCTGCAAAGGAAATCCTAACTATTTGAATAGCATTAAGATGGGAAAAAAATACTGTTTATGAAAGCTGAGATCTAAAAGTGCAGCAAAATGGATTATCAGTTGTGGGTTTAGTATTTGATAGAACAAAAATCTACCTTAGTAGGCACATAGCGAGCAAACCATAGTATCAAGACTACAGCTCAGGCTTATGCACATACCCTTTGCAACATCCAGTAGTCTATCCAGTATTATGGGAAGAATTGCCTTATGCCTTTAGCTTCACAGATTGCTGTCCAGTGCCTSCTGCCCCTTTTCAAGTTGCTTTTTAAAGTCACGTGTATGCTGAATTACTCCATCCTTAAAGAAGCATGGTCATGCTTATTGCTACCTATCTTCAGCACTTAATATGGTTTGTCACCCTTCCCTGCTGTTACCTCTCAATGAAGATACAAGGATCAAACATGTCCTTAAAATGCTTTATCTTTCTTTTTTTTCTAAGATRAAACTCTAAAAGACATTTGGAAGATCTGGTAAAACAACAAAACCTGACATGCCTCTAACATGTGGACAGTTGTCTCCGTCTATCTTTTGTTTTGAATAGAAAACTCTATTCACATCAAAGAGATAACTCTATTTCCAGCTTCCTAAATGCTTGCCTGAAACCACTACTTGCATGAAGAATATCTTGAACTCAGAAAAGCTTGAGACTATGCTAGATGAAAAACAAACAAACAAACCAGTAAAACCAAAGTATTCCTTGGAGAATATATCATCCCTAGAATATACTCCACCTTTGGGATCCCTCCCAAAATTTATTTTCTGAAATCGTGGACTCCCTAAGCTTTTCATTGTTCTAGGATGCCTACTTCTGGCTGTATTTATCCAGAGAGTTCAGCCTTCTTGTCAGAGGAGCTGCTTAGGAGCAGGAGGTACCTACCACCTGCTTAGGAGCAGTCAGTACCTGGGAGTTACTGRCTTCCTGACTCAGTCATGACATAAAATTTCATTAGGTTTGCAGGCATTAAAATATGCCATGGAAGAACTTTTGCTTTAACAGAACTCAATTTTTTATCTGATTAAAGATAGATAATGTTTTTATTATTTCTATGGTTATAATCTGAACAAAATTAAATTACTGTTCTGTAAAGGAACCATAGAGATCCTACACTAGCTTGGGATTTTTACTTGGTTATGACWTTGCTTTTTATCTCTTTTTACTAGATAAAGGCAATAATACAAAAAGTAGATAATTTTTTTCCTGAAGAAAAATAACATTTGGGATGTATGGATTGTAACAAAAGAAGTATCTTAAGCAAACTGTCAGGGGTATCATTCATCCAGAAATGGGAATAAAATATCATAATTATAACTTGGAAATCTCTTTTGTCTTGCATAACACAAGCCTGTTTTCAAAGAAGGAAATATTCTTAAGCTTATTTCAGTTTCTGAGAYGATTTTAAATTCTCATTCAAGATAGATGAGGTATGAGAAATGATATATCTAAGTCTTATTTCACAGTGGTGTTCAACAATGGAAATAAATAAATCCTATCCACTTCAGCATTAATACCTTTTAAATTCTAGTTCATACTGTAGTCTCTTATTCCTTCAGATCATTCCCAGATATATTTCAAGTTAGTCTTAAAAAAATTAGTTCCATCTTTGCAGATAAGGGTTCCTTTTTCTATTTTGTAGGTGTTTTCTAAACATGTGTTGGGCTACTGTAGTTGATATTGCTTAGACCTGTGTGGAAGATATATAAAAGCATATAAAATAAAAAAAAAATACATCACATATAAATATATTACATATTGTAAGTTAACGTGAACATTTGGATTGTCATAATCTTAAACTGGTTTTTTTAAATATGCCTTTGGGATAACTGCCTCAGATACTTTCCATAACCCCAAAAGTAAGTAAAGCAGTCTGACTTTGATGCTTGCTGTAATAATGAAGGAGAAAAAGAATGTTACTGCTCTGTTCAGTGATTGGACATGACCTGGAAAACTCCGTGTTCAGTTAAAAAAACCAAAATTCACTCTGAACTRAATTTTTAATGGTAGCAGTGTAAGTCAGAAGCAGATGTACCCAAGTAAAAATAGTTTGAGGTGATATATGCATTGTATTGAYAAAAAAGAGATCCCCTTAACAAAGTATGCTTGCTGACAGCACTGCAAAATTGTTTGCTTCTAACCTCATGAGCAGAAGCTAAGACAATTTTCACCTAATGAAATCTGCTATTTAAGTATTTTACTAATACATAAAGTCCCTTTATATATAGATTTATATATATAGATCAGATCGAATTAAAGTAGTAACTTTAGATCAAAGAGTTTCTATAAATTATGTGAGAAGGCATGACAAGTTTCCCTATGTTTTAGTCTTCTGTTTCCATCCACTGGAATATTTCTGGTTCTTACTTAACACAGAAATCTCACTTGCTCCTGTAGCACAGCCTCTAGATTCCATTCTCCATTGCAATTCAGTTGTTGCAGTGCTAGTTCACATTTCTATACCCAGGAGAGAAAAGTGAACTGGAGAAGAAGCCTCCTCATTTGTTGTGGAAAGTTCCATATTTTTATATTTCAAAAATACCTAAAACAGACCAATTTTCTGTCTTTTCCCTAATTCTGTCTTTTCCCTAATTTGACTTCTGTTAATGAAATCAGATATTTTGGAAATAGATTTTTATTTTGAAACTGTCACATCCTTTCAAATAAATCAATAGATTAACTAGGGCACTTAGGACAACAGATGAGCTCAAAGTAAACAGTGCAGAACCAATTACAAACTTCCAAATAAGATTTCAAATTAGTTTTCTTCTTAGTCTCAAAACAAAATACTATTTTCTTATTTTTTTTTTCAGAATGCTGTCAGGAATGCACAGTGGGTTTATTAAAAGAGCTAAATCATTCTGATTTTGAAAGGCATGGATGTATCAGATGTATATTGGAGTAATGATCATGGCCAAATGGAAACTTCTTATAACTAATGCTAATAGTGATGCCAACTTTTCTTGTTTCTTTCTCATTTCTTTCCATTTTCTTTCTTTTCCCTCAAAAAATAGTAAGGTGTGATGAAAATACATAAATCTTGCATGCAAGATCCCTTTGTTAGGAAGGTGCTCTAAAGAGACAGATTGTGTGGTTACCTGATGTTCAGCTAAGTAAGCACTGCATCCACACTCTCAATTAGAGCTGTCAAATGTGTGTAAAAGGCAATGTCTCTGTTAGTRCAATGCCTATATTTAACTTCATACATCCAGGAAAAGAAGCAACCACATCTCAGTGCATAGGTAAGGTCTAATCCTAATGTGCACAGCAAGGAAATCCTTGCCAGGAGCAAATAGGATTTTGCTATTTGGCTTTTGATTGGACTTTGCTATGTCACCAGTTCTAGTTTAAGGAAGCTAATGTTTGCACTCAGGACTAAAAGGAATACAATATGAAAGAAATAATTAATAGTGGGACAATGAAGAAAATGGCAAAATCATGAAAAGCAGTAATGAGATAGTAATTAAGTTTTAAACTTTTTTTTTTTTCCTATTGATAATCAAAATGGAAGAAGACTGCTGCCATGACTTCTTGGAAAAAAATATAAATAGAAAAGTAAAAAAAAAATGCTTATCAACATTTTTTTAAAATGGTTTCAAAGCTCATACATAATGTAAGATAGTGGAACAAGCAAAAGTTGAAACAAACCATGGTGAAATGTCTTTATTTCTGTCTTTCTGTAACATCTCTGGACAGCTTCATTATAGACCGCCTAAATACAGTTGGTCTCAGTTTCTCAATCCAGTTACCAAATCAGTAATACTTTGCTTCCACAGCTATGTTTTATCTTTGCTCCATCTTCTAAGCCCATAGACTTTCAATTAACMTCTCCCAGGCTCTGGACTCTCCAGCATCCAAAACCCCTGGGGCTTACAGATTCTGTAACTTCAGATCCAGACTCATCAGGCAGCTTGTCCTGAAGCAGGGACTCCTTTTCTCAGGGAATTTTGAAATGACTGGTATTTGTTCTGAACTAGGGAGGAGCATCTCGTTAACCACAGGCATCCAGCTTGGATTCCTGAACTGGGAATTTATCCAGTGGGTTTGATTCATTATACTTATTTACACCTGTGAATTAATTTCCATCTGTGTTTTTGTTTGCACCTGTGCAGAATGACTATGAAATGCTGCCATTCTGGTTTGGTAGCTGCTTCATTTGTGCATCATGTAAATCCACCTGGGGGGCAAGGCTGCGAGGAAGCAGACTTGGCATTCTTAATAAATGGGTTGTCCTAAGTTCAGCACTCTTACTTATTGTCTAAAAGTTGACCAGATTAAAAGCACTTCAGAAATATAAACTTGTTMGTAACAAAATTTTTGAATGTCACACCTCATTATAAAAAACCCAAAACACATTAAATTGTGGGTGTTCTTATTTCTAGATTACCAGAGCAAAACTTCCTTACTGGAAAATGACCCTGTTAAATGTCTGYAATCTTGTCAACAACATAAACAACCAAATGGGTGAAACAGTAGAGGTMGATGAGGAGGATCTGGTTCCAGGAAGACAGTTCCCCTCTGCCCTGGATGGCTTCAGCTTGGAAGCAATGCTGACAGTATATCAACTCCAAAAAGTTTGCCACAGCAGAACCTTTCAGCATTGGGAGGTAAAACCAACTGTCACAAATACATTTTTATACCTCTATAAACTCAGGCTCTGTTTGTAGTCATGTTGTACAATCCATATCTGTGCGATCCCCATCACACTGTCTGAGCTTTACTTCCCTTTTTTATATTCTCTTATACCTCTAATATGCCTCTTTCAGTAAGAATTGTGAATCATCACAGTTTCTGATGACCTGAGTGTATGTTTCTTACAAGAACTGACAGATAAATGAGGACTTTTCTTTGCTACATACTTCGTCCACTCTTGGTAGTCGTTTAGGTAACCAAACATATGAAAGTCATCACTATGCCAGAACACATAATTAATACCTGCTTAACAGACAGGAGGTTGCTGCAGTATATGCTGAAGTATAAATAAATGTGTTCACTATTTCTGTTTTAAGACCTAAGGCAAACTGGATTCAAAATGCAGGGACGCATGCCCATGTGTTCACATGATTTTATTGGGTACTCTGGTTTTCTTATCATTGTTAGAAAACTGGCAGCAGGGTAACTCCTGCTTTTTGTTTCCGTATACATAAAAAGGGCCCTGGAAGTCGACATTGAGATTGTATGAAGATTGCTGTTCTTAAATAGTGATGGTTTATAGTCCATTTGTGATACTTAGTGCAGTGATTACACAGTAGGACACTAGGCATGATCCACTTGCATTTTTMGATATTACACCAAAAGCTGCTTTGTGTAGTGAAAAAAGATATCTCAGTGTCACTCTCCACTTTYCTGTAAAGTAAACCAAATTTCTTCATTCATCTCAGGTTCATGGACAGTCTGGCTGAATCCAGATTTTTTTTCTGAATCATAGCTCTGTATATGCAGGCTTATTTGGGATAGTCCATGCAAAGGACTGCAACATCTTTGGGAACCAGGGTCTTCCAAAKACTCTCTTCATCAGTGCATTTATTGCAGAAAAGGAGCTGCCATAGAACCAAATATGCAATAACCCACGTCTTAATCACACTTCCCTGCTTTGCAGGCAGTTGCAGATTAAAATATTTCTCAAAAGATGAAACCAGCCAGTGGTGCATGTAGGTGTTTAACCTAAATGTGTGATAACAGAGTGAGTGATAGTCATTTGGACACTTTTAGTCAGTTTTAGTTTTAGCTCAAGGACGACATACCAGCTTTCCTCTTTAGTCAAAACCAATTATCTAATTTGTTTCAGTGGAATTTAAATAGCACTTCTGTAAGGCTAAATCAGCTTTAGTCTGATTTTAGTTTCTTGTCTTGAGTTTTGTTTTTTTTTTATTTCTTTTAATTAATGCTGCAGCTAATATAGTAAATTTTTTTCTTGTGGCAGATGTTATAAAAYTTTCAAGGAGTTTATAATCTTCATTACAAAAAAAAAAGTCTCTCTGTTTGCATCCTACAGTTACTTCAGCAAGATGCTTTTGATCTAGAAAATGCGAGCCAAGAAAAGGAAATAATGAAGAGAAAAAATCCTTATATTCTGAAACGGCAGCTACATGTGAACAAAGCTAGAAGACCATACATACTCAAGAGAAGTTCATATTACTGAGGCAGCAGAAGAAAACAATGTATATTTAGTTTATAGGTAACTGTGTGTTATGGTTATCTTATCTAAATCTAAAATCATACTTGTGTGAAAACATACTATGGAAAATCAAGATGATAACATAGCTGTGTCTTTTTTGCAGTTGCTGTTTCTTGATTGTGAATTTTTCCTACTTGAGATTAATTGGACTAATACATTTGCAAATAAAACTAGTTTTTAAGCATGATGTATTGTACAAAATTAAGACTTTAACATGCTTTYAATCTTGTAGTCTTTTCCAATTTTATAAAGCACACCAACATAACACCAATTAAATTGATATTGTCCATAAATCCTAATGAGAATCTTAAAATTTATTAATGCAACACCTCAAACATGTAAATGTTTACTTTTTTTTTGAATTTCATAGTAGTAATAACTACCACAGCATTTTAAGTTTTGGCCAGTTTAATTTATTAGGGAATAGCTCTAAGGAAGAAAGGGAATGCAATCAACTAACTATTTAATGGTAATGTCAAAATTAATATTTTAAATAGTTGCTTGTAAGTGAATTTTGAGTTTTTGACTTCAAATCTGTGAATGCTCAGGAAAAAAAACAACAAAAAGTGTTTCATGTCCTGGTGCTGTTGCTGTTAAAAGTCAAAATAGTAATCTGGTTACACGAGAAACTTGAAGCATTTGCAAGGTGAGTTGAAATTAGAACATMTTATAGTTACAATTAAAAGGATTTTCCTTTCCCTCCCTCCACAAATTTGTAAAAAAAACTGGAAGTCTCAGAGTTGAAGACAGTCTTGGAAGATATCAGAAACGGAGGTTTACAGCATGGGAAAAATTGTTTTCATGTCATAAAGACTCAATTGCTGCCTGAAGGTTACACATTTTTCAGTTCTGTGTTTGTAATGTGTGCATGAGATTTGGGATCTCGGTGACTGGGTTCCAGTCAGGAGGAAAACAGTCCAAAATGACTGGGGGCCACAACAACCATCAAAACTGAGGGATAGTCCAAGACCTGTGAAGCCTGGATGCTCACRCCAGAAAGCAAAAATGAGACACACATTGTTTTTGAAAAATTGCCTGTTTCCAGTTTGAGGTATTTGCTCAGAGGAATTGTCCTCCAACAAATAGTCACAAAAAAAACCCCAATCATAACCATTAACAAAAAATCAAACCAAACAAAGGAACCACACCATTCAACCCTCCACTCACACACAAAAAAAAAACCCAACCCACAAAAACCCCCACAAAACCCCCAAACACTGAGATTTTTCAAATCCTGTCGCAGATTTGTTGCCCTTTGTTACATGGGGAGGGATGGGGTTTTTAAAGCAAAATGTATTTTCACTATATATAAATCTAATTATATTTCCTTTTCTCATTGCAAATATTATTAATCAGTTTATTCATTCAATAGCCATTAAATGCATGCACTGACAAGAAATAACTGAGCAGACACTAATTATTGCAACAATCATTATGACTCAAATGCAGCAAAGCAATTAAGTGCATTCAGTCTCAATGTTTTAAATGCTTAATGTGCTTAAGGGCTTTGCTTAAGTAAGTAAACTCACACCCTTTACTTATTTTATGAAACTCATTGAATTAGACTGGAGACCCAGCATGCTCTGAAGTGGTTAAGAAACATCTTTCTGGCCAGCCTATAAGATCCCTAGGCCTATTAAGGATATTTGTATTTTAAAATACCTTTTGCTCTGAAATAACAAAGCAGAACAGTTTGTTCCAAAATCCACTGCTTGTAGTACCAGAGGAAAAAATAAAAAGAAACTTCAGATCACTTTTTCATAGGAAACACAGAAGAATAAGACAAAAAAAAATCAGTTGTCATTATATTTTTTCTCGTGCTAAGATTGGTGTAACAGCTTAAAAWGAAGCAGGATAAGGGAAGGTGGTTGTCATCTGATAGAGAATGTAATTTTTAAAAAAACAGAAACACTTTCCATGTTTCATTTTGAACGTAATTTAGACATTCAGGATAATGGCATACGACCTCAAATGATGATACCAACTGTTCCRCCCTCATCTAGTTTTCCACACGACCTCATGGCTGTGTATTTGTTCTTTGCAGTGCAGAGCTAAGAGATTACTCAGACTGGCTTTAAAATGGCTTTAAATAACCCACTTCCTTTCAGAAGACTGAATCCACATACAGCCAGCTACTGTGTGTCACTGGTGGAGACAGAGCTTAAAGTGTGGCAGGAAAGTACAGTTGTCAGTTGTCCTTAGTCTCTGATGGAGGTGCCAGAGAAATGTCATTCAGAGTGATAGTCTGAACTAGATAAGGAAACAAAAAACATAATTGTAATATGGTCAGTTAAGCTAAAAACATCAGTGTTGGCTTTTCAATTTATTGGTCATTCATGAAAAACAAGCATAGCAGCATTAAAAAATTAGAAAACACAAACCATAAAATCAAGCCAGGTACTCAGAGCTGTTAATGGAAATTTTGAAATCTGAGAGACTTGCTTTCTTGAAATCTCTGTTCCAGCTGTTGCTTACCTCCTGATGGCCTCACTGCTTTGAAATTGCAACCTCTCTTTAACCTTCATTTTGGGTTGTTTGTCTCTATGTTGTACATACTTTCAGTGAGATCCTCAGGATGCCTGCCACATCCGCAACTGTGTATTGCCTGCAAGATCCATGCTGCTACATTTGCAGCAGCAATGAGTGCTGGATGAAGTACAAGTCAAAGGAATGTGAAGAGTTATTAATTCTGAAATTTAGACAGTCCTTTCCTTTCCTTTCCTTTCCTTTCCTTTCCTTTCCTTTCCTTTCCTTTCCTTTCCTTTCCTTTCCTTTCCTTTCCTTTCCTTTCCTTTCCTT